CCTTGGCAGAAAAACAGCCCCATAGCATGATGTTTCCACCCCATGCTTCACAGTAGGTATGGTGTTCTTGGGATGCAACTCAGTATTCTTCTTCCTCCAAACACGACGAGTTGAGTTTATACCAAAAAGTTCTACTTTGGTTTCATCTGACCACATGACATTCTCCCAATCCTCTGCTGTATCATCCATGTGCTCTCTGGCAAACTTCAGACGGGCCTGGACATGCACTGGCTTCAGCAGCGGAACACGTCTGGCACTGCGGGATTTGATTCCCTGCCGTTGTAGTGTGTTACTGATGGTGACCTTTGTTACTTTGGTCCCAGCTCTCTGCAGGTCATTCACCAGGTCCCCCCGTGTGGTTCTGGGATCTTTGCTCACCGTTCTCATGATCATTTTGACCCCACGGGATGAGATCTTGCGTGGAGCCCCAGATCGAGGGAGATTATCAGTGGTCTTGTATGTCTTCCATTTTCTGATGATTGCTCCCACAGTTGATTTTTTCACACCAAGCTGCTTGCCTATTGTAGATTCACTCTTCCCAGTCTGGTGCAGGTCTACAATACTTTTCCTGGTGTCCTTCGAAAGCTCTTTGGTCTTGGCCATGGCGGAGTTTGGAGTCTGACTGTTTGAGGCTGTGGACAGGTGTCTTTTATACAGATGATGAGTTCAAACAGGTGCCATTCATACAGGTAACGAGTGGGGGACAGAAAAGCTTCTTACAGAAGACGTTACAGGTCTGTGAGAGCCAGAGATTTTCCTTGTTTGAGGTGACCAAATACTTATTTTCCACCCTAATTTACGAATAAATTCTTTACAAATCCTACCATGTGGATTCATGGATTTTTTTTCACATTCTGTCTCTCACAGTTGAAGTGTACCTCTGGTGCAAATTACTGACCTCTGTCATCATTTTAAGTGGGGGAACTTGCACAATCGGTGGCTGACTAAATACTTTTTTGCCCCACTGTAGTTCATGTCATACGAACTTGTCTGTTTATCTTCGTGTAGACTTGGTCTTGTTTTTGGTTCAGTTCATGTGTTTGGCCAGAATTGGCCAGAAAGCTTCTTCTTTTGTTGAGAACGCAGCTCCTTCCTTCGGTGTCTGTTTTTGGGTCCGTGCAACAAAACACAGCAGCATACCCCGCCGTGACAGATGTGTTAAATATCTCATGATTTGTTCTGTGTTAAGAAGGCTTTTCATTCTCTATTTATAACAGAGTATTTTATATCTATATATGAGGTTGTTATATAGTTTTTTACATTTATTTATATTATATATATGCATATATTATATGCTTTCAATCGTATCTTTTTTAATAAAGGTAGTTGGTGATTAGCGTTGTCACCTGAGTTTGACTCCACCAGCCAGCTCGGGCCTTTTGTGTGGCATTTTCATGACTTCCCTGTACTTATATGTGTAAACTTTGGCTCCCTCCTGCAGTTCTCTATGTGTCAGCCCTGTGACAGCTGAGATAGGCTGTAGTACACTGCAACGCTAAATTGGATAAGTTTAAAAAGAAATTGATGGCTGAATTGTGTACAGAAAATACCTCGTCTTGGAATCTATCATAATTCTTCACAGGAGGTTTATATTTTAAGTTGAAGGTTAATAGTTTCATTTTTGTATTCGAAGAAATACATCAGTGTTGTGTGTGAAAGTTTTATTTATGACTTGGACTTTGACTTAAATTTGATACCCATTACAGGATGACATCCGAGCCAATTTTATCTGTTTACTTGTTAGAAAAGCTGACCGAGGCCATAATGACTAACTTTCCGATCAGTCATAAAAGCGAGTAAGTGATTGGAAATGAGTCATGGTGTTAAGTGTGTATTAGACCATCATTATTTAAGATGCTATTGTTCATTTTGAGCTAACACGTTTTAGTCTGAACTTGCCACTCTTTCTGCTTGTGTTATTTAGCTTAGTTTAGTTTGGATGTGAAGTGTTAGCAAAGATCAGTTGTATCTTCTTCCAGTTAAGTATACACAGAGCTGTGTCTTCGCTTTGTTCACAAACATCTAATTAAGAACGACATAACTGATGGTTGATAATAACCCATGGTCCATTGTAATGACAGCTTGTAACACTCATCAGAAGGTGAGTCCAAAGCCATGATAACATCCACATCATGATGATTCAGCTTCTTTAGAAATGAGATGCTAAAACAATAAAATGCGACAGCTTTTATGTTTATAGACCAAGAGAGGGAAAACAACAAACATTTATCCCGCTTACTTCATACATAAATTCATTTGTAGAATAAATTGATTTAAAAGATCAGTGGGTTCCTTGAGTATGCAAAGACCCACTGCAGTCAGTGGTATGTGAACTCAACAACCTACAGGTGGAGAACATGAGGAACATACACTGGAATGCAATACTGCGGGCCAGGACAGAGAGTTATTCTTCGAGCTGGCTTAGAAAGCCTGCTCTCAAATGTCTGAGCTTTTCCCACGCAACAAAAATGAACTAAAAGCCTACTGTTTGAAAGATTGACTTATAGTTGTAGACTACACACAAAAAAGGAACAGAAGCTCAGGCTGGAAGACACAGCAGCATGTAGAAAGATTATAATTTGGTGATGATTTTTTTTTTTTACAGAACAGTCATTGCCACATAACAATAATGCACTCAAATTATTATTGTCTACATCTCTTTCAAAGCTTATTTCTTGTGTTATTAATGGAATACCTTTTTAGTGGCAGAGAAATGGAGCAGTGCTTCTTCAGCGCCAAAGAAAAGGTGCTGATGGAGAAACAGCAAGCCGCAAGAGTTGAATTTTTCGATGGAAATAATAATAAGAATTCATAAAATATTATTGCGTCCCCATTACACAGTTTACAACTGTGGCTTTGGAAGACTTAGCGTTTTGTTGAATAAATATTCAATCGAGGGTTTGGGTAGGTCACAGAAATTGTTTTATCCAGCGTGTGGAATTTACAAAGCTTGTTTGGGAGCATGAGTTTGATTATTTGCAGTCACTGGGATGTGTTTGTGTGACTATTCATATTTATATTGAGAGTGACATGTGGACTGTTGTGGAGCTGTGAGGATATCAGCACCTTGCTGTTATAAAACTGGATATGACAAAGGTGAATTTTCCAGGAAAAAACGATATGCTCGTACGGTAGCAACTTCTCAATCCTGACATGTGCTGTTTAATAAGACTTAAAACCATAGATTGGAGTCATAAAAACAACATATTCTCATAGACTTCTAGGTTATCTGATTTAATTTAGCAAACAGTGGAGTTGCCCCCTGCATGAAATAAAGCTTTTATACATTGTTTGTTTTTGTTTGTTGTTTTTTATTGGTATTGCTGTCATTACAGCATAAAGCTTCAAAATCGCACAATGTGTTACATTTTAATGACGGAAAAGTTTTATAGCATACAAGGCTCGGCTTCTTTGCTGGTGCTAACTTATAAACAATGTTGAAAATAAATCTAATTTTCAAACAACAGGTTATAAAGTCTATTCTTTCCCATTTCCGCAGTGGAAGGTAAATCAACTGTCTGTGAAATCAATCAGGGAATGAATTTTAATCATCAGTCTTTCAAATAAATCCCCTTACAGTCACTTTAGACCAATTCAATAAGAAATATAATGCAAACAAATCACGAGAACGTTCCTCTTTGCCAACTGAGAGCCGGAGTGGGAATGTTTATCGTGGGGAGGGCAAAGTCACATATTTTCATGGAGTAATAAAATGACAGTGAAAAAGCAATGTGACAAGGCGCATTTCGCGGTGTGATTTTTAAAAGGCCTCCCACTTACATTCTCTGTAAGTGCTGTGTATTCTTTTTGAAGAGCCACAGAAGAACGTCTTTTTTCTATCATGTGATTAACCGGAAGACCGAGAAATGCAGGACAGCGCGCCTTCTTTTTTGTGTGCTCCATCCGTGTCCTATCACACTTTAACCTTCAACTTTTTTTAACAAGATTTATCATTATCCATCAATAACTTTCGACTTATCTCAGACATTTAAAGGTAAAAATACCTTTTAGCACTCATGCAATCATTACACCTGTTTGTGAACCTGTGACCGACACTATCAACTCTGTGTTTACTCACTTCCACGCTGAACAGATAAGCTACAGTCAGTTTATGGGCATGAACAGCCCATGCTGGATGTTAACAGATGACTAATAAATCCACATCACAGCCACTAAAGCCAAACACTGATTTATCTCACAGCTGCTGTACTAAAGTATTTACTTTGCACTCACTGCAAACTGAGTTGCCGTTGCATACTTTGGTTTTTGATATCAAGTAAGAGCAGCGTAACTCAAAGTATCATGGATTTTCTTAAACAGCATCACAAGACTGTACTTCACAGCGGAAAGTCTGCCTTTGATCCATTCAGAGACCATTTGTGAACAATTACACCAACTTCTTGCTGCACAGAAACTCTAAGGGAAAAAGCAGTGCAACAATTTACCAGATGGCTGTAAAACTTGCACAAAGGACAACTAATGTTACTTTTCTTAGAAAAAAAAAAAAGACTGGATCAACAAGACTGGTCTCTTTGGTCATATTTTTACTAAAGATATAGAAAACAGTACCTGGCAAACCTTGTGTAGCTGCATGTCCAGCGCTCGCCCGGAATTAAGTCCACAAAAGACGTTCAAGTTGAGCTGGAATGATCCCAGGCTTAAAGACTTGCAGTCGGCATCTGGGAGAACGGAGGTAGGAGGTGGCGAGAGCTATGACAGGTTTCTCTAGAGATGTAGGGAGGGAACAATCTTCTCTATCCCCGAAAATCCCTAAGTTTAGTGGGAAGGGGGGACTGAAAGAATGCGGCTGTATCAACACTGCATTGTGGTCAAGCAGAAAGAGCTCCGATCCTCAGAGGTACAGAGTGTCCTGATCATTCTGATTAAGGTTTCATATGACGCACATAAACCCCAGCCCCAGTGCCTCAGCTTACCTGCTGATATCCAAGAAAAACTCAAGGTTTGTTATATGCAAACCGAATAAAGCACAGCCACAGGGATTTCGATTTTCATTCATTTAATTTACCTTCGCAAGAAAGGTCTTTGACACCAGGACACATTTCCTTCCTAAAAAGGATTTCATGATAAAAGTCTTAATTTGAACATACCTGACCACTAAATACAGCCAAAGAGACACAAATATACTTTATACAAACATTTCAATGATCCAAAAATGGTTATAGTCATTGCACTCTGCTGTCTCTCCTAACAGATTTTGGCAAGATCTTGCAGTAGCACATTAAAAATTTGGGCATAACCAAACATCATTTGCATGTTCTGCACCCTGGAGAACGACACCATTAGTCACAAATCGCAAAGACATCAGGGGGAAAATATATAAAGGAGATGGAAAATAAAAACAAGAGAAATTGGATAAGTGGCAAGAACCAATAAGTTTGCCAGAAACAGAAGCCTAAGATCATATTTCAGTGAACTGAATGTAGTCCAGAAACCCAATCCAGAAAGGAGGGAATGCTTTGAAAACAGATTTGGGAGAGCTGTGTAGAAAAATACACATGGCTAAGACATCATTTATTTATCCTTTAGAAAAGGAAGGTAAATCGGGTGGCCCCAAAATCCCCACAAACAATAGCACATATATAATAACAGCACGCGTAATGCTTTCTAATCAAACCTTATATCATTGTGCAAATCCTTCAAATAATCTGTAACACGGATACAACAGACATCAAATATCACTTACAGTTTACCTCCCATACATACAGGAATAAAGGTGAAAGTAAACTTATGTGGTTTTATGGTACATTTATTAAAAATAAACAAAACAGTGTTCTCAGTTTTGACCAGAGAGCTGGGTGGAGAAGGACAATATCGGTAGTGCACCAGCCCTGCAGAGCTCAGCGGGAAAGCTGTTCAGAATGGGGAGAGGCTCGGCACTTTGATATTGATGTCTCCAATGTTGATGTTGCGGGGAATCTCGGGCAGGTTCATGTTCTTCACAGCAGAGACAGCACGAGCTGGAGCCGCTGACAGACCTCCCTGCCCAGAGAAACATGGCACAGAAAACACCTTTAAAGGCTTCGTGTGTGGAATCATCACGTTTCATCTTTAATACTGCTGTAATGGCACAAGTCTAAGCATCTGCGGGGGGAAATCCTGTAGTAAAACTGCAACAGTGTTAAGTTACACATGTTGTGTATATAGACTTTACTATGAAAGGATCATGTGACTGAATGAGAGCCTCATTAACCTCATTCAGTCAGACTGACACTGTGTTCACGCTTTGATTCCCATAATTTCGTGTACATGTACAATGACAATAAAGGGCTATTCTTGACCATTTCAAAGTCTAACTGAACTGCTACGGTCCTGTTTTGGCTCGGTGAGACGATTTGCTCAATACCCAAAGAAATACAAATCGCTGCAAGTGTGCTGTGTAAAATCTCCTTTTGTTTACAGTAGTTTTATTTGTGGTGCACCTTTACATGAAGCATTTTTAAAGTAAGGTCATCTTAATCTGAAAAGCTAATCTTAAAGCAGACGTAATTTTACCTTGTATAGGAGTTATATTTCTGTCTACTTGTACATACCCGTGCCATCTGGTGTAGGATTTTAGCCAGCTGGTAGTGGGCTGTTAGCAATGCGATGATGTCATAACACATCAGGCAACATTCGGGTTTTTTAATATAAATTCGATTATTGTTATTGTCGTGAAATTAAAATTATTTATAAGGTGTTATAGGTGCAAAAACACTACAAATGAGTCATTTTAACCTAAAATTGGATGCAACATGATAAGATCATAATGTCTAATATAGATACTTCAGGGGCTTAAGATATGCACGTGTGCTAATTTTGGTTGCACAACTCCTGATCATGTAGGGTGAGTTTGCAGAAAAAGAGGTTTCCTATATTACAGTAAGACTAACTTCTTAGTATTATGAGTGGACGCTCAGTGCAAATAGTCTCTTTAGTCAAGTGAGTGCTCACAGTGCTCTTATTCTAAAAATTAGTTAAATAAACACACACATTTAGACGCCCTTGGTGCATCATTTTCCAACACATTGCGACAAGAGATATTGCAACTAAACCACAATTTCTGAATGGTGACCAAAACAGTACGCCAACTCTCACAACAATGCAACACCGCTACTTGCCTACTTACAAATTCCAGTATTATAAACATCAGTTTTGGTTCTAAAACAACCATTTAAATCATGTTTACATTAAACATTTACAAAGTTTCATAATCAGCGGTAACTTTACAAGAACCATCAATTAATGTTTATAGAAGGTTTGCAAATTAATTACTTGTAATCCATTCTATGCTAACAGTAAATCATTATTACTTAAAGTTCAATTACCAAAGTTATTATGAAGGATTAATTTTAGGGGTTCACAAGAGTTTCTGTTTTAAAGCTAAAACATGCAATAACCCTCAAGTGCGCTCCTTTAACAGAACGGATCTGACCTCTGACTTCTCCATGCGGTTCTGCACCTCCACCTGAGCTACAATCTCATTCATGTTAGTCTCCAGCACCATCCCTCCCATCACCACCTCCTGCAAAATGTAATGGACCTGCAGAAAGAGCAAAGCACGGCAATTAAAACTAAGCAATGCTGAAATGCATGCAGTTTAGTTGGAAAGCAAAGCAGCTTTCCATCACAACCTTCAGATGTTTGAATTCCTGTGGGCACAAAATGCTTACAGCAGCATAAAACTGTCTTCTACTGCAAATCTGTCAGCCTCTTTTAAACCCCTGCCTGTAAGTATCAATGACATTTTTACAATGCCATGTAGGTTAGTTGCGTCTATCCTCCAGAGATGTACGAGAACATGTTTTTCTTTCAAGAATACTTCCAGGTTTCACTTTGGGAAAATTCCTTAGGCCAAACCTAACAACACCACATGACATCCATTTCCTGCTGGGAAAATTCAATCAAGATGGCCGGGGATGTGTCTGATTAGTTTCCAGCAACACATCTAGCTAGGCTCAGAAGAAGAGAAAAACAGATTTAAATGTAGCCTGAAGCACATACACACATCTTCAATTCTAAAGAAGCCCTGCACACAGTTTTAAAAATCTTTATTATGTACTGTGATATATATTATTTGAAATGCAATCATTAATTTCTGAGGTGAAAAGGTTAAGTAAAGAGGCTGTTCCAAAAAAGCATCTGGCTGCACAGCTAAGACTAATAGACTGCACATTACCTGAGGGTCAGGCCAACAGTGCAGTCATAAACACAAAGTTCCCTTTTATCTCAACCTTTTCATTGAATGGGTAAAAAGAAAAAAGCTGTCCATGAATACAGCTCCTACACAATTATTCTGCTACAGCTTTACCGTCAATATCAAGACAGCGTTTATTCTGTAATGGCAGCATGTTAATGTCACATTCAAATATTTATGGACAGTTTCCCACAAGTTCGAAACACCAGTGTATGTTGCTCCGATATGGAAGCCTACTCTTACTCTGTGCTTTTAATACAAGACAGACCCACTAAGCTGTGCCTGACCAGTGCTTTTTTTTAACATTTTATATCACTGTCTTTAAAATTCTTGAAAATTGAGACGGCTCTTTTTGCCAAAAAACTGCCAGAAACCACATTCGCACATTTGGAAAGCTGAAAACATTTACTGACACATTTCGTTTTATTGAGCAATTATTCAACTAATACTTGCAGCTCTACAGAAATGCATCCCTATCCCCCACCTACCTTATCCATGTGGAATATGAGGTCTAGTTCGCAGACATTTTCAAAGCATTTATCCAACGTTTCCACAAACACCTGCAGCGAAGAGAACAATGGGGTCAAAACGGGAAATATTTTCAATAACAGATTTGTATTACTGTCTGAGTGCTGATTAAGTACATATAGTTAAGATGGTCACAGGCGAAATGTAGAACAACTTCCAAATTTCCCAAAGGGACAATAAAGCTGTGAAGCCAGATGTCAGCCCGAATCAAAGTGAGTGCATCAGCACTTTGCGTAGTAATGTTGTTGAGAGGTCTGTACAGCCTGTATCTGAGATAACAGGCTTTCTTTTTAACAAGTTACTTCTTTAACACAACCACCAAAGGAAATTTAAGACATAAAAAAGTGAAAATTTACTTGTTTCCAAGGAGACACACTGATGTCAGTTTAAAATACAGTAAAAGGAATTTGTTTTTAAATGGTTCCGTTTATAAACATTGTCCAAATTTGTTCATTAATCTTGGATGTAAACAAAATAACGCAATCATGTTAAGCCATTTATTGTTAAAGCAGCAGCATCTTAGAATACTGAGAACACAGAGAACAGTGAGTGTTGTACAGTGTGTTTTCACAGACGCATTCCCAAACTTCAACACTTTTCGGCTGAACGGAACAGTAATCTGAGTAATAAGATAAAATGTGGATACACCAGTTCTGATTGAAAAGTGGCATAATCCTAGACACCTCACTGCAAAAAAATGTTTCTCTGTTAGCTGCTGGAATGCATCCATGCTTGCAATAGATGCTGAAAGAATTTCCTCGAATCATTTCTGCTTGAATTCAGTTTGGATCAACACAGTATTTGGATTCATCCATTAGCTGAGGTCATCCAAATAACTGTGCCTCTCACCTCTCACATCTGTTTCAACTCTGCTGACAGAAGCATAATAACAGAGGGATTTATTTGTAAGATTTCACTCAGTAGGCTCTTTCTTGTATCATACACCTTGTTGCCAAAAGTATTCATTTGTCTGCCTTCACATTCATATGAACTTGAGTGAAATCCCATTCTTAATCCATAGGGTTTAATTTTATGTCAGCCCATTCTTTGCAGCTACAACAGCTTCAACTCTTCTGGGAGGCTTTCCACAAGGTTAAGGAGTGTGTTTATGGGAATTTGTGACGATTTTTCCACATGTGCATTTGTGGGGTCAAACACTGATGTTGGACAAGAAGGTCTGGCTCACAGTCTCCACTCTAATCTCGGAGGTGTTCTATTAGGTGCAGTCATGTTGGAACAGGAAGTGGCAATCCCCAAACTGTTCCCACAAAGTTAGGAGCATGGAATTGTCCAAAACATCTTGGTATGCCAAAGGATTAACAGTTTGTTTCACTGGAACTCAGAGGCCGTGCCCAACTCCTGAAAAACAACCCTGCACGATAAACACCCCCACCCACCCGTGTGTCTACCTTTACACTTGGCAAAGTGCAGTCAGACAAGGACCGTTCTCCTGGAAACCGCCAAACCCAGACTCATCTATCAGATTGCCAGACAGAGAAGCATGATTTGTCACAAAAGACAACACACCTCCACTGCTCTAGTCCAGTCTAGTCTAGTCTTTACACCACTCCATCCAATGCTTTGCATTGCACTTGGTGATGTAAGGCATATATGCACCTGCTCAGACACAGAAACCCATTCGTTGAAGCTCCCTGTGCACTGTTCTTGAGTTAATCTGAAGGCCACATTTAGTTTGGAGGTCTGCAGCGACAGACTCTGCAGAGAGTTGGCAACTTTTTTCACAAATTTTTTCACAAATGTTTGTAGAAGCAGACTGCATACCTAGGTGACTAATTTAACAGACCAGTGACAATGGACGCGATAAGAACACATTAAGATTTTAAATCAGTGTTCTCTTGGCTTTTTCTTTTTTGTTTGTTTGTTTAATTTTCTATTAAAGTGAGATCTGTTATTTGTGTAATTTTTACCCGTCCAAGCTGTTTTGTTACATTGCATTTATTTTGTTGGCCTAAGTTGTTTTAGGTTTTGACTTTGTCATTTCGGTTTAAAAATCTTCAATATTATTCTTT